GGTAAGTGTTTAACCAGTTATTGTTATGCGAATTTATCCTAAACAGTGATATGATTACCTCGTGGTCAATCCGTGACCTTGCAAATTAAAGTTTACGAAGACAACCAAAAGGTCTATAAAAAGGTCTTTTAACCTGTGGTGAAGGTTACTCAAACTAGTTTAGAGGTTGAACGAACGTTTACAGCGATAGCGGTTCCTGTAGCTATGTTTAGAACGTTTTTAAGAATGAAAACTATTGGTTTATACGCGAGTTTACCAATGATGGCTAATAAACGATGAATGCTAGATTTAACTACTATCCTTAGATTTATGGTTTAACTTCGTTAGTTCAACACTGAAAACGCTAAGTGATGCTAGATTTACTTGTTTAAGACGAGAATTATCCTGACTACGAGTTTATAGTGCAAAACCTTATTGTTTATGTTTAGAGTTAATTACCGTGAAATTGATTATTATGTTACTCGCTTAAGGTTATTCACGTGTGATTTAAATACTAGAACTTACTCTGATACTTAACTACGAAGTATAATGACTAGATATAGCAATAATCTAACACAAAATTATCTTAACTTTATCCTAGGTTAGATATATGTGTGTAATAAACAGCAAGGATTGTACCTTCTAACGACGCGAGTTCTTTGTCTTTAATCTGTGGTTCGACGCTCTTCCAAGTTCTCTTGCTATACTGACTAAATTTACTTGAAAAGCTCTATTTATACTTGAGTCTGCATTCCTCATGTATTACAATAATCCACGCACAATACGCCCAAGGCGCACTTGTTCCGTAAAACGTGGCTTATGCTAACATTACTCATGTAATCCCAGGAAATTAATTAACTACTTGTTTGCAGATTTCACTTGATATGAAGGAAGAACATTCCTTAGTATCCGAAATCGTAATTAAACTAACTAAAACTAGGTTAAAGTCCGATTTACTTTTGTTTAAAATAACGTTCTTTTGACTCTGTCACAATGGTTTTAAGTTTCCTCCTTATTCACTTGTGGTGCTACATCAACAGCAACTACCACAACCAATCGAGTACCAATTAACACCCCATCACCAATCTAAACACCCTATGAACAATCATTACCAACAACCCCCACAACCTTGGCCTGTGGTGTACTCTTGCCTGTTTAGGGTAGAGATGTACCACTGAGTCCTTTCAACCCCAATCCTGTGTCAGAGAAAAATTGCTAAAAGTCATACCCTGTTCCAGAGTAAGATTGAATATAAAAACCCCTTTTCTGGTACTTGCAAAAATAGATACCCTGTTCCAGAGAGTGAGCACAATTTATATACCCTGTTCCAGAGAATCGCTAAAAACCATACCCTGTTTTGAGGCATGTACCCGTATAGTGAATGAAGAGGAGTACCCCCCCTCCCCCCACTGGAACCTTGGTGGGCTCATTAGGGACAACATACATACTGCAACAGGGGGACAAAATAAGCATAGTGTATATGCAATGCTGAGTTTTGTTGAAGAATTTATATATACCTTTATACCTTGTATACCTGAATCTAGAGATGATTGATACCTGCAGTGACATTTGCTGCTATCACACATAAAGATATGTTACTACAGCTGTAGCATTCTGGATTCAAATTGTATGAAAACTATCAAAATAGGATCATGAACACTCATAAAATCCTTGAATACCAATTATTTTACCCAAAAACACATAGCTATAAGTTAAATAAAAAACTTCACACTTTTGGATACAACAGCCTTACAACTTAGGATATAAAATAAATAGTTATTACATAATATTTAACATTATGGGGGAAAAAATACTTAAATTAAAAATAGCTGCCTTAAAAGCACTCTATCTGACCAAACAAGTACACTACATTTTAATCAAAAGTTACTTCGATTTACTAATGTTGAAAAACAGCCCACTTTTTTTTTTAAAAATTCAAGTTTCTTAAAACAAAATATAAATTATTCCACACAGCTATAAGCTAAATTAAGAAAAAACTTCTATATTTCACACTTTTGGATACCTGTACACACATATTACAAGGATATAAAATAAATAGCTAATAATATTTAACAATATGAAAAGAAAACTACTTAAATTGAAAATAGTTGTCTTAAAAGCACTCTATCTGACTTAAAACAAGTACAATTTGTATGAATCATACTCGCGATTGTGCAATTTCCTATATACTAATATGAAAGACAATTAGGAAAAAAATTTATCCATGTTTCATCAAACCGAAAATAATTTATACTCAAACATCATAAAATTAAGATAAAAACTAAATTGAAAACTCAGCCAAGCAAAATTTTGTATCACATTTTACGCTGATTACTAAACCATCAATTTACTAATAATTTGTTCCATTTGCTTAAAACAGCATGAAGCAATCCTCAAAACAGTTTTTAATAATAGAATATTTTAGACAGATTTTGATTTATATTTGTTGCCAATAGTAGCCATTTCAATAAGTCAAATAAGATTTTCTGAAATTTTATTGAAAAACAATCAAGTGAATGCTCTTTCATTTTCTCTTCGTCTTATTTTCAAGCTCTCATATTAGATGATTGAATCTCTTTTTTCTTGACAATTTATCTCTTCTACTGTAGTGTTAGTTTCAATGAAGTAGTATCATTTCTTATTGTGTAGTTCCAAAAATTA